CCAAGTTATGGACTAATCCGGCTGGTCTTTGGTGCTCAACCTTTACTTGCTGGCAAGTAAAACATTCATCCGATTATGATTGATTTGATCTTGTTACCTGGTGACTACAAATGTCACTTCTTGTAATAATTCCATCAGTGCATTGTTGTCTATTGAGTTTCCTGAGGTGGATGCACGAGTAATTCTAGATCTTATCATTTCACTTATCGTTTGATTAAGATCCTTATCTCCGTTAGGAGGGGTTTGTTCATTACCTGTAGCCATATCTCTCTATAGATAATAAAATGTTTAGGTCAACTGTTATACAAGAAATAATTTCTGAGTCAGCCACATATACGCAATTCAAGTAATTATGAACTCAATTATTACTCAACATAATAACACAAATCTGTATTTACAAGCCAAAAGTATATTATTAATAGTTAACTTTTTAGTCCATACATATATCTGAGTACATGGGTTTACATATATACATATTTTCTACCAAAATATCCTATATATACCAAAAGAGTAACTACGAAAACCCATATACTAATATTACAAAATTATCCTAACAGTTACACTCTATTTCATCGAGGAAGATGAGCTGCTGGAGCTAGACTTCTCCTCGGTTGGCTCGGTCTCATCCGAGTCTTAGTTATTATCAGAGTCAGACATTGGATCTGAGTCAATACTACTAGTCCCCCATCATTCAAGATCGAAGTCTGGACCAATACGCATGGTATTCGACTCATTCTCAAAAAAAGAGTCCATCATTATCACTAAAAATCTGGACTACCTGGGATTCGGTGCTAGAGGGATCGAACGAACCCACAGTAACTTCTGAAGGTGATGACTCAACTGGAATAACCTCTACTGCTAGATCCTCGTCATCAGAATGATCAACCTTAGACTCCGATGAATCTATTATATTAACTTCTACTGATTCGACCTCCGCTAAGTCTGGGGTCACATGATCAGCCACTATCAAGCCTGGGTCAGTCTCATCAGAAGTGTACTCCGGTCTCTTAAGCTAGGTTCCCAGGAGCCGTCTACAGAAATTGTATAGCTAGAATGAGTGTCTGAAAAACTGGTTAATGAATGTGTCACCGTCATCCTACAAAAAGGGGACCATCTATCATCATACTAAAATAATGGGACAGAAATAAAATAAAATAAACATGTATTAAGAAATACTAGAAAATTCTAAAATGAAATAAGGTGAACTAAATCCCGTAAGTACCCTCCTTAAATATGTAAAAGGCCTAACTATAAAACATTCATATGCTTACACGTATATATATATGTATACAGACATATATATCACATAGCTGACACATATGATAACACTCATCCAGCGCATATACACTATGCTAACGTGTCCTACAAGGCTTCTAACGTCGAAACCTAGGCTCTGATACCATCTTAAACACAAAATTTTTGTTTCTTTTTGCAAATCCTTGTTTTTAACTTCATAATCATAACAAGTTATCATCTTCACTCATTCTATTTTGATTCAAATTACTAAAACTTACTATAAAATTTGAAAGTGGGTTATACCTCAATTGATTGAGATATTGATTTATTGCCTTGGTCTTCTTTTCTCCCTTCAGAAGCTTTCTATTGATCCCATAGAGTTTTGTTGAGGATGAGAGGGTATTCTCCGTTTTTTTCTTTTTTTGTGGGTTTTCTTTGATTTTTTTCTCTGTTTTATCCCTCTGTTGAGGAGGCTATATTTTCTTTCTTATGTGTGCAACTGAATACACACTATGATGTTTTCTAGAATCAACCCTTTTTAAATCAGGGTCAACATTAAGAAAGAAAAAGAACTACTAATTTGTACAAAATCAGAGGATTATTATTTTCTCAATTTCATAGTCAATTGTCAGAATCTTAATTCTCAATGTGTTATTCGTGAATGTGAAAGTCATCTCATAGGTCACACCAAGGCTACGAATTATAGCTTAGTAGTATGGGAATGCGTAAAACGCATCACATAACAAATAATTTTCGGAAATCGAATGCACCTAATACCATCTTAGGTTATTGGCCAAATACAGAGGGGCCAGAACAAATTTCAGAGGGGCCAATACAGAGTGACCAAATAAAAGTGCATTCACCATATGGCAAGCAGAATCACTCCATAGTGAACTTTTTGAGGGTTTGAAAATATCGAGAATCACTTGTTAAATGAGTAACACCTTGCGTATCAGAATTTATAGATATTTTCAAATGACGTGGACAAGGGTAAAACTCGTTATCCCAGTTAAAACAGTTTACGGATTTTACTTTTCTTTATTTTTTATCAAATACTAAGTCACAGAAAATTTTTGAATCCATGAAACTGTTGAAACACGTTCTAAATATTTATTCTTCAAAAGCTTTCAAATAAAGCAATTCCCACAATTATTTGAAATCGAATAAGAACCAAATTCACTTTTCATAGTTCATATAAAATCAAATTGATTTTTCATATCTTGTATGAAATCAACATCGTATTTATGGTTTAGGTCACAACAAAAGTAGATCAAATTACCTTTTAACTTTATATATATAAAAATGATATATTATTTATTTTTCGATTACAAGATAAATCAAATATAATACTCATGCAATTTCATATTATAAAATACTAATGAGAAATGAACTCACCTCTAGTGGACATGACTTTTCCTCTCTTTTTTTTCCGACTGGGCCATCTGAGGTCTCTCTCTCTCTCTCTCTCTCTCTCTCTCCCCCCATGACGACAGGAATCGTTGACGTCCAGGAGCGATAAGACCCCCACCGGATCTAGGGTTAGTAATTTTTTTCCAGTCCATCACATACATCTTAAACACATAAAAATTTTGTTTCTTTTTGCAAATCCTAGTTTTTAACTTCATAATCATAACAAGTTATCATCCTCACTCATTCTATTTTGATTCAAATTACTAAAACTTACTATGAAATTTGAAAGTGGGTTATACCTCAATTGATTGGGATATTAATTTGTTGCCTTGGTCTTCTTTTCTCCCTTCACAAGCTTTCTATTGATCCCAGAGAGTTTTGTTGAGGATGAGAGGGTATTCTCCGTTTTTTTCTTTTTCTTTTTTTGTGGGTTTTCTTTGATTTTTCTCTGTTTTATCCCTCTGTTGAGGAGGTGCCGCCCTAAGCATCAAATGACTTTTAGCCATTAAAACATTAATTAATGTGACAGTTAAACAAGAACTGGGGGGGGGTTAAATTCCAAAGAAATCTAATTAGTTTTTCCCGAATCTGTATTTTAAAATTTTTTCTCCATTAATCTAATTTTAAGACACTAATTACTTAGGCTACTACGCTCTCCCCTCCTAATAAAAAGTTTCGTCCTCGAAACTTAACAAACCTATATCTCAAAAGAGCTCTGGATATCTCTCTCGCATAGAATCTTTTGTCTCCCAAGTAGCTTTTTTTTCAGAGTGATTCTTCCACTAAACTTTCACATATTTGATTATTCTCATATGTACCCTCCTTAAATATGTAAAAGGCCTTACTATAAAGCATTCATATGCATACACGTTTATACATATGTATACAAACATATATATCACATAGCTTACCCATACGATAACACTTATCTAGCGTATATACACTATGCTAACGTGCCCTACAAGGCTTCTAATGTTGAAACCTAGGTTCTGATACCATCTTAAACACATAAAAATTTTGTTTCTTTTTGCAAATACTAGTTTTTAACTTCATAAGCATAACAAGTTATCATCCTCACTCATTCTATTTTGATTCAAATTACTAAAACTTACTATGAAATTTGAAAGTGAGTTATACCTCAATTGATTGGGATATTGATTTGTTGCCTTAGTCTTCTTTTCTCCGTTCAAAAGCTTTCTATTGATCCCAGAGAGTTTTGTTGAGGATGAGAGGGAATTTTTCGTTTTTTTTCTTTTTCTTTTTTTTTGTTGGTTTTCTTTGATATTTTCTGTGCTTTATCCCTCTATTGAGGAGGTGTCGCCCCAAGCATCAAATGATTTTTAGCCATTAAAACACTAATGTGACAGTTAAACAAGAGCTGGGGGTGAAATTCCAAAGAAATCCTAATTAGTTTTCCCTAATCTGTATTTTAAAAAAATTTCTCCATTAATCTAATTTTAAGGCACTAATTACTTAGGCTACTACAAATTACCTACATAATTACCATTGGGTCGAAATAAAGAAAACTGAAAAAATCATGGGTGGCCCCTGAAAATCACGAAATTTGAAGTATGGTTAATCAATTGACATTGGGTCAAAACACATGCATACACACAAAAAGAGTATCTGATAATTTTTTTAATTTGTAGACGTTAGCATTGGGTCAAAACACATGCATACACACAAAAAGAGTATCTGATAATTTTTTTAATTTGTAGACGTTAGCGGACTACATTCTGTTTTCTTGCTTCACTTAACAAGCTACATTACTACAAATTATGCTAGTTTGTTCATTTGTAATTTATTAGTCTGTATAAGCACTTGCTATATGGATTACAGGTTTTGGGTCTTTTGTTCCTTCTAGTTGTTCGCGATCTCCCTGAGTTTCTCTTTCTCTCCATCTCTTAGCACGTGTCTCATTTCTGTACTTCCATTAGCTTCACCCTGGAGCTTCCTAATGCAGAATTGCCTCGGTTATCTCCTGCAATTTCAGCGCAGTTTCCCATTTAAGAGTGAATTTTCTTACTTTATTTCTGAATCATCAAACTATAGTGACATAATTTGAACAATCTAAGAATTGCCATGTAGTTTTTATTTTTGCTAGGAACCACATTCAAATTCTTATCATGGTTGGTCTATGGTGATAGCATTGAGTAGAAACAATTTAACTTGGCTATGTTTTAAACCTTCAATCAAATTTTTGGACTTTCTTTTTGGATTACAGGTATTTTGTTTCTCTGTCAGCTTCTTGTCCTCAAAGTCCATGGATCCTGTAGTGATGTGACAGCAAAACCCGTATTTGGTCAATGAAGGAATTTGATATCCGCTTTGGAGCAAACTATCAGAAAGTAAGCAGATAAAACATACAACAAAATCAAATACAAAACAACAAAATCCCTCTTAACACTAACTCTGTAAAATCACCCAAAATCTCAGACAGACACACTATTAGGAACCCCTCTTCCACTAATCCCCGCAACTCTCCTAAAATCTGAAGTACTCGGATAGAGCAAAGTATAAGCAACACCAACCTCCCCTATCCTATTCTGCAACCTCTCATCCTTATTCCTCTCCTCGATCCTCTTCTCAATCCTCACCAGCTCTTCTCTAAACCTCTCAAAAACCTCCACTGCCCTTCGATCCGACGTCCACTCCTTATCCTCCCTCTGCCCAATATAGACCTCATCACTCGAGTGCATCGACAAAATCTCTAACACTGACATAACCGTTAATGCCTGTGCCTTGCTCGTTATACTCTTAAGTAACAACCCCTCAGGGTCATTTTCAATCTCATCATACTCTTTAGGATCTGGCATTGGATGTCGAATGAATGTGGGTCGGTTTGGGACAAAGCCAGCATATGCATACTGGCCGAAGTTGAGGGAGGCATGGTAGGCAGAGGCAAGCCAGATGAGGATTGTACAAACTTCGGTTAGGGATGATAGGGTTTGCATGTTGGGCCACCAGGTTTCGTGTTTGAGGTCCCCGTGGCCAAGTTCGCGGAGCTCGGTCCACCAGGTCTGGAGCTCTACGTCACATTGGAGGGAGATGTCAGTGGTGTAGTAGAGGGAGGAGTAGGAGGAGACATAGTTTTGGATGGCACAGTAGATCTCAAGGCCGTCGACTGCGTAGGGGTAGTCAGAAATTAGGAGACGGAGGGTTTTGTTGTTTTCCATTGCTGCTACGCCCCTGGGAATTGGAAAGAACGCTGTTAATATGTGCTAATAGCTAACACCATTAATGTTGGATGGACATAAAGACATGTTTGGCAACCAGAAATTAAATAAAAAGTAAAAAATTAGAGAAAATATTTTCTCAAGAAAGTACTTTCTTATTATTTTCTATTCTGAGAAATTTTGTTTGGATGATAGGAGGAAACAAATGGAATGCTGATGTAGCATATGACATGACATTTAGTTTCTACTTGTTCTATTTGGTTATCATAGGAAATGATAGTAGAAAGCGTACAATTTATGCGAAAAAGATATGTAAGAAGTCTAGAAATCTAGTTTCTCCCTCCTCTCCCCCAACTTTCCATTCACTTTAAAAAGCTGATGTGACACTCTTTACTTTCCATACTCCAAACAAGAGAAATTGGAAAGTGGCGTGACTTTCCTATTTTTGGCTCCATTTACATATGGTTGCCAAACATGCCCAAATCTCTACTGCTCCTGCTGTGGAGAGAAATATTTTTAATTACAATTGCGCATTTGTCAATTACAATTGTCCATTTGTCAAGTAAACGATTGTGATTCATCTAGTTGGATGTAAAGTATGAATGAGCAAAATGCCAAAATGTATGGAAGTAATGATACGTGTTAAAATCTGAGACTAAGTAGTACTCATCCACAAAACAAATAATTGGCTGTGATTAAAGGTTGCAGTCACTTCATTACGTTTTTGGTAATGGAGAGGACACAAATACGTAAATGCTAGATGGATTTCCCAACTGATCTCTTTGTCACAGAGAAATTTTCTTTTTCTTTTAAGGGTAAAATAGTTGTGTAATTTTCACTCAGGGGTTCTATGTACCAAAATGAAGCTACAAATGTAATAACTTCCAAAGGGTGATACTACAGGGAATCTGTGCAAGTAAACGTTTGCTTTATTCAAATTATAGGATATTCCTCTGTAACTAACTATAATCTTGGGACACATTTTTTCTTTTTACCTTGAAATATACGTGTAAGAGAAGATATTTTGGAATACCTTTTGCAGAGATCAGTTGGGAGTGCATGATCCATGAGGTTCCAGCTTTTATAAATCTCTGATGTCAAACTCATTGCGAATTTTCCGGGAAAGAAGTTTCTCTCTACGGGTCCATTTGCGTGTATGAGGAGCTGGCGAGCCAAGGAGTTCATGTTCATGGTGTCTCTATAGTGAGGGCTCAGCAACTTGTAGATCGGGTGCATAACACTGAGCTGTCTGTTTGTCGCTATAACAAAGGGTTCAATTGCTGCATGCGTGTAAAGCCTGAAAGAAGTCAAAACAGCTGTTAAAGATTGAAAAATTAAATTAGATGTGCATATGTACGTGCTTAAGGTTTTATGGGAAGATAAGGAAATATTTGGTGAAGTATGTCCATAAACGATCCCCATTGCTCATCATGGTATAAACGCATTGGAACGCGTATCTGCGTTAAACCTTGGTATTTGAAGGTCTTCAGATACGATGAATCTGGTGGTCTATGTTTCTTTTATGATTGAGAAGTACCACTTAGAACCAGTTGGATTCATAACTTCGAGAAAATGGTATGAATTTCATCCATGAGCAAATATAGGACGTGACTGAGAAGGTACCCCTTTAAGCATGACATCCTTGTATTTCTTTACATTATAATTATTTTTCTTCTATTTAACAGTGATTTTCTCGCTTTGTAACATAAAAGAAAACTTTTTATAATTCGTTAGTTTCTCTTTTTGTTCTCTCTCTCTTGGTTTATGACATGCATGTTTTTTTAATTGACGTTGATGATTGTCGAAAGGTGGATTGTAAAATGATGTGTTTTTGTTGAGTTTACCTTTTAAGTCCAATTCGTTAATATGTAAAAAAGTTTGCTTACTATATTTGAAGGTGAAAAGAAGTAGGATCTCATACCAGTGGCTAACAAGTTGATGATGGCCCGAGTCGTTCACTGCTACGAATGCCTTCGCTATCCTCCATAGAGCTCCATTGACCCCATCCTCTGCAGGGTAATAAAATCTCTTTACATATTCATCTTCTCCAACTGCATCTATTAACATTATCCCTCTCGGACTCAATGTTCCATCTTTCTCCAAGTACACTAGTGTTTTTGAGGCATATACTTTGTTGGTAGTAAGATCATATATTTTCCTTTGGTACTCTTTAAGGTAGGAATGATCCAATATGAAGAACCTCTTGTTATCATCTCCCTCCTCTTTTTCTTTGGTAGGTGGAATTACCCATCCGTCCTCATTTTCATCTTCATCGTCGCTCGCCTGTAGAGGCACGAAATGGCAATAATTGGCATGGCTATTTTGCCATTTAATTCATGTCCTTACTAATTTTTCTGACTACATGTGTGTGTTTTAAAAAGAAATACCTCCATCTTATTTGAAACTCTCTCTGGCAATAATTTTCTTCTCTCAAGCATGGAGGTGAGGCTGTGCAGGCGAGCTTCTAACTATCAGGCGAGCTTGGCAGGTGAGATTGTGCATGCGAGCCAGCCTCATTCAGGCAAGCTAAACTCCTTTACAGGCGAGCTCCAGAACATGCTACGAAAACAGGTCATAAATTTCAAACCGTAAGTCAGAATTGGACGAATTATATATAAAAATCGACTATCTCGACGAAACGGAGCCGACCAAACCGACCCCATAGGGTTCGGTTTGCTCTTGTCTGTTTCGTCAAATTCCTTTTGGTTTGAGAGATATCAGCGTTTTTACCTTTTTTGCTATTTCTAGCAAGGTTTTAGCAGTCTTGTTGTGAACTTCTCTGATAGGGATTAAAGTCAATTTTTATTACCTACAACCGCCATGATCCTTATTAGTTTTCTACTTAATGATGATTAATGGTTTGATCAATATGATGATGGAATTAGCTTACACTATGCATATTATGTTGTGTTATTAAATCATGATGTTAAATTATGAAACATAGGCCAAGTGAGAGAATGTTAGATTTTAGTGGCCCACGTTTATTTTTTTTTTTTAACCAACTTTAGTGGTCACATTTTTACTCCCACGGTTTTTAGTTTAAGAAACTGCTCATGTTTTATTTTAGTTATATAACTACTCACTCACATTTTTATGTTAAATTCCTATTTGTCAATAAATTAAGATAACTACTCACGTTGATGGAGTGTGAGTGATTATTCTATTTAAAAGGTTTGATCCTCTCTCTACCGGGAATGCGAAAAAATTCTCTCCATCAATAAAATTTCGGAAAAGTTCAAGAGGGTTAAGGGAGAGAAACTCAAGTCTTCAAGGTTGTTCATCTTGCAATCAATTTCTCTTCAAGTTTCAAATCATGGATCAATGTACGTTTTCTTAATTAATTGTTCATTGTGAAAATCATTTGTTCTAAGATCTTGGCATAATGATAATCAAATCAAAATAAAGTATAGCTTGATTTGCTTAAATTTAAAGAATTAAGGTTACAGTAAATAGTCCAGTACTACAATAACAACTCGCTCCTCCCATTATTTAGTCCGAAATTTGCAAAATAGTCTTAACTTAAACCCTAACAAATTTTTAAACCCAACACCTCACTATTTTATTTTAAAAGACAAAGGCTTATTAACTCAAAATAATATCTAACCCAAACATAGCAATAGGGCTTTTAGCTTCCAATTCTAGATGGTGGTGTGAGTTTGTTGGCGTTGATCACCAACTGCCAACTATTTCCAGCTTCTTGTGTACATATGAATATAGAATTTATTGACAAAACTAGATTTTTTCAATGAATATTGGTTGGAGTTGTATTTAAAGAAGTTTGTTTTATAGTTTTATTTATAAAAGTAGGGCATATTCGGCAAATGCATCACGAAAGGAAGGGGGTTGGGGGGATCCATAATGGTTGCAGATAGGGCCGCAAATGATCGAACCTAATCGAATATTAAGATGTTTGTGCTCGTATTTATTTAAAATTATCAAATTTGAACCTCAATTTTAATATTCATATCTAAAATTTTCCGAATTCGACCTCGAACACTCGATATTTGGTAAATATTTATGAATATTTATGAAATATCAAAGTATATTCATTATGCTAAAGAATTTGATTTTAAATAATATTTAAATGTGTAAATACAAATTATCTCTTCATAATTACAATGCATGTATGCAATTCAAATATTTCATTAGAAAGTTGATTGAATATTCTTTAATTCCCTCCAAATTATTAGATAAAACTTAAGTAAAAATATAAGTGGATTTGTGTAATAATATAAATTATATGCGGCCAGGTTTTTTAAATGAATATTTAATGAGCAAACGAAGAATATATATTTGATTAAAGTCTATTTGTTAATGAACCCAAATACATAGTATTATTTGTTTAGTGTTAACTGAACTACCTAATGGAACATTAACAATAGTTAGTCAAACAATTAACTAACTATTTATTAATTATTTGGTTTGTTTTCACCCTTTTTTGCATCCATCTCTGCAATATGAACGCAACCCACAAAACTAAATCAAGTTATGTGGATCTCAGAGGAAATGCTAGCAGATATCTGTTGTGAGCAGCGAAAATTTCAGCAGAGTTTCTGGTGCACGATAAGAGAGGAAGATCTCAATAAGAATTCTCGTCTCACTAAGGAAACAAGAATCTGAAGCAAATATCTCAACAAAGTGAAATATCGGCTCTTCCTCTCTCATCAGTTCTAGGACTGACTTGTCGAGGGATCCTAAAAACTATTACAATGGCAACAAACACAAAACAAACAATTTTACATGGTTCGGCAAATTGCCTACGTCCACGGGGCAAGGAGGGGGGGATCTACAATTAGAGGGAGAGAGAATACAAATAGGTTTACAACCACACAAGATCTCACAAATAAACTCTCAATCTAATCTCTCAATTCCTCTCTCAAAATCAGCACAAGAGACTACACAACAAAACTCTCAAAGTCGGCTTTGCTACAGCTGATTTTCTCCTCTGCGCGAATCCCCTTGCACGCTGCCCAAGCAAGTCTGGTTTTCTCCCCATGCTGCCTTGCACGCACACCAAGCCCAAAGAACCTCTGCACTTTTTCCTCTTGTTTGCTAGTCGTCCTTTGCACCTGCACGCTACCAAAGAAAGAGAGAAATAGCCGACTGCCCACCTCCTTCGCACTCAACCCTAGGCCAACAAATAAGTGTATTTATAGGCCATGGTTTCGGGTGGGCCTCTTTGTCCGCTGGACTAAACTAATGGATTCGAAAATGCTCCTAGCCTTTATCTGCTGGATTCGAAAAATGTTGCTAGCCTTGTGATCCCCCCATTATAGGCCATGGTTTCGGGTGGGCCTCTTTGTCCGCTGGACTAAACTAATGGATTCGAAAATGCTCCTAGCCTTTATCTGCTGGATTCGAAAAATGTTGCTAGCCTTGTGATCCCCCCATTATAGGCCATGGTTCACAAAAATCACCTTTGAACCCATGACCTTCTCTTTTTGAAGTAGTCCTAAGAGTAAGTGTAGCAGGCTCTCACCCCAGCTCCCAATGCTGAGGTGGCAGTGGGAGCCTGCTGCAAACACCCCAACAAGCTCCTAAGATGCCTCTTTAGGCTGATGTGGACATCATGTAAGAGGTGGGGCCCAGTTGAGCTCCTAAGCGCGTCACAAATTTGTGAGCGCTTGGGAGCTCCTAAGGAATAAAAAACAAATTTTTTTACACAAAACCCTACTTTTAGCCGGCAACCACACTAAAAGAGAGATTTTTTACACAAAAATCCAATTTTACACAAAAACCCATGTGATGTGGCATTGAGAGCTCTTCAGAGCTCTCCAACAAGCACTCCTAACTAGGAGTTTGTTGCACTTGCTCTAAGCCTTGTTAGGGCTCTCCCAACACTTCTTGTCTTCTTTGAGTCCCGCTACATAGGAAAGTTCAACGTTATTCTATAAATTTTCTTACTTGATAGTGTTGAATATTTGTGGCTAACCCCCAAAAAAGATAAACCTCAATTATTCAAGCGGTTTTGAGTTTGAATCTCATGATAACCAATACTACATGGCTGAGATTCGAACCAATACCCATTCAAGGACATATAACTTATATGGCAATGTGCTAACCAGGTAGCCAACTACACAGGATTGTCAAATCCCATGTAGTTTATTCATTATAAACTTCATAGGATTGTGAATTCCGTGAAAATTATCCTAATTCTAAACTACACGGGATTGGAAAACCCATGTAGTCTAATTTTCTGCTAAGCTACATGAGATTCTCAATACCGCATAGTTTTTTGCATTTATTTAACAATTTCGACCCATTTTCTACCAGGTGGCTGAAACTAGATCGAAAATAATAAACAAGCACAAAATAGATTGAAAATGCTAAATAAATTTCAAAAAATAATCCAAAATAAAAATTCGTCCAATTCTTGTGGAAGCTCCTCGGACACTTTATCAACTTAACTAGATCCTCTTTGGTGGTAAAACTATGAAATACTTTAAAATTAAAAACAAAGGCTTCGTTTGGATACCATGATGTTTTCCTTGTTGTGTTTTTGTAAAAAAACGCAATGGTGTTGTGTTTTTCTCTTAAAGCGTTTTCAAAACACCATGTTGATCAATTATAACATTAGTATTGAACATATTATTAATATATTATACATTAATTATAATAAAATATATTATAAATAAAATGTTATAATGTTTAGTTTACATTACTATAGTATTATAAGTATTAAATATAATACAATATAATACTGTATAATGTGTTATGATATTATATTGTACTTTAATGAGTTATATTATTTTATAATTATTATTATATTATTATTACATATTATTTTCAAAATTTGTTATTGTTATATATTATATAATATTTTTAAAATAACATTATTTTATTATTAATATAACATTATACTATTATTAATATAATATTATACTCATATTAATATAATATAATATTATTAGTAATGTGAATATTATGTTATTACTACAATATTTTTAATAAATCATATATTATAAATATTTTGGTGTTATATAATATATTATAGTTTCTAATATATTAGAATTAATTAATAATATTTTAGTAATTATGATATAAATTAATATTATTATATTATGAATATACTATTTTACATTAACATTTGTTAGCAATAAATTATTTTAGTATTAAAAATATTTTACTTTATAATAATTATTAAATTATTTAGTGTATAATGTATTATATTTTTATATGATACTTTAATGAGTTACATTATTTTATAATTATTATTATATTATAATTATTACAAATTATTTTCAAATAATTATATATTTAATTATTTTGTTATATCAATTTGTTGTTGTTATATATTATATAATATTTATAAAATTATATATATTTATTATTAATATAATATTATTATATAAAATATAATATTATTTATAATGTTAATATTATGTTATTACTA